TTCTTTGAGACAAGGTGTTTCTTTCCTCTGGTGACCCTGACCGAAGAGGCCGCCACACTCTGAAGTGGTCACCTGCTCCTCTTCTCCATTTCTTACCTACTCTCTGGACCAGGAAAAGGAAAGAAAAGAGCAAGAATACTGAAGAACAGTCCTCTTAAAGACTCCTCAAAATAGATCAAAGGTGCACACATGTACCCAGGAAGTTGGTCAAAACACTTACAAGTGCATTCTGAAAATAAGCTGGTTGTTGCATTTCCAAGGAAATCATAGTTCAGGAGTCAACCTGCGGACAGCTCACCTTTGTCACCCAGGAACTCTCCACTGTCACCTCCTGCACTTTCAAAGCAAAGGCAGCTCCTTTAAAGAGCCTGGGAAAGCTCTTTGAGAGGCTGTTCACGTTTGCCCTCCACACACATTCTAATATTCTCGTCCTCGATAGGATTGACAGGTATCCTGCCGAATAATTCATATGCAACATTTCTTTCATGTTTAAAGTGAGGAAAAGAGGAAATCCCTCAACAAGAAGAGTCCCCAGAGGAACATTTCAGATGGGCGGGCTGGGCTCCTTGAGGTCAAGTGGGGTGGGGTGGTTAGCTGGGACAGGAGTGGAGTCCCTTTGGAGTGTGAAGACTTCCTATGTCTGTGACTGGGACGTGCCTGTTGCCTGAGAATCAGGTGTGGGGAGAAAGACCCCTTAAAATGATGCCACAGTTTATTCCAGGACAGCACAGGGCACAGAACAGACTCAAAGCAGGGCAAGTGACAGCCTCCAGAACAGCCTGCCTCCTGGAATACCGGGTCTGACCAAGAGCATAGCCTTCTGGGAGCTTGCTCTGCCTGCTTCAAGGATGTCATCTGACTCTCTTTGGACAATTATCCCCAAAATACCTCTCCTTCCGCTCCGTCACCCATGGGCTCTCACAAGCTCATGATGCAGGGGTTGGGCCATGAGTGGTAGAGTCGTTGGAGTAGCTACTCAGGTAGGACTTGAGGCAGGGGATTCCAGGATGGGTAGATGGGAAATCTGCTCCTTGGGAACTTTCTCAGCACAGTGATTGGGCTCAAAAACTGCCAGTCCTCTCTCTCTCTCTCTCTCTTTTTTGGTCAGTGTTACAGTTAGTCATTCAACATTAAATAAATGAGTCAAGTACCCACTGTGGGCTAGAGACTGCATCTGGGGTTGAGAGTGTAGGAAGTAGAGGAAGAGATGAATATGGTTAGAACCTGCCTGGGGAAGCTCATAAATGCAACACACAGCATTTGAAAGAAGCAGACACGAAGAGTTGAGAACCCACAGTAACACAGGGATTTGCATGGGGATGGTCAAGAAAGCCACTCAGCAGAGTTGATTATTAGTTGGGTCATGAGGAAAGAGAAGGGGTTGGCCAAGCTAAGAGAAGGGCCGGTGGATGTAACCTGTGTATTAGTGATTACAAATGCAAAGCCTGGAATGAAATAGTCCCGGGTTCAGATGTTAGCTTAACCATCTATCAGACTGTAAAGTGTGAATCAAGCTCTTCGTTTCTCTGAGCCCTTTCTTATCCATAAAGTGGGGACCATTCCACTCATCTCCTAAAGAGAACTGAGTGACTTGATGGCTGTAAGGCTCTTGGCACAGTACTACCCAAAGTGCCTGCATGCAGAGGTAATTACGGTTGTCCTTTAGCCTGTTTATTTTTGTTCTGAGTTGTTGGCAAAATGTCAAAGTGGCACCTTGAGAAATTCTAGGCTGCAGAGAGGCCCGGTGTTCAAGGGGGCTTTGCGTGAATCTCCAGCAACCCTCTGGTCAGGCAGAACATGTTGGCACAGTGGAATGTGCTAGCACAGTGGAATATTCTTGCATCTCAGCTTCTAAAATACACAGACAAGTTTCCTCCAATTCTCTCTAATTCCTTCTGGCTCCACGGCTTTTCAGCATGAGTCACTCCCAGTCTGTAACTGGCAAATCCCAATGAGGAGGAAGTGAAATGCCAGCCTCCTCCCCATCCCCCACCCTCAGCACCCTGCCACCCAAGTGTCCATACCTTCCTCTCCGGGCAAAGCCTTCCCTGGTCAGCCACACCTTCCTCATTTTCTCTCTCCCTGCCCCTCCTTGAAAAAAGAGTAAGCAAGAAGAGCAGGGGAATTCCAGTTTCCTTTAAACAGAACTCAGGGGGAAGTGACATTTGTTTTCACAAGGAGGAAATCAACCCTTTTCAGTTACCATAAAAGTTATGCTAATATTGGCTCAGCAACCCTTGAGGCTGGAACCATGATGCCCTGAGGCGTGGAACTTCCCAGGATGAGGCTGCTTCTGAGAGTAGCAGCGCTGTGGGGGACAGAGCAGGCTCACCACACGAGACCTCCTAGGCTCAGGGCCTGATAGAGATCAACTTCCGGAGGACACTTGCTCCCTTGGCTGGGACCCTGTGAGGAGAGCCGGTGATTGGCAGAATCTTCACAAGTGGTCCAGATACTTAAGGACAACCTATTCTGCCTCACACCTTTTGGTTTCAAATGGAGCAGCACCAACCCTCAGAAGTGCCCCTTTGCCCAGCGGCCCTCAAGAGCCCATCTGGGGGGAAGTCACCTGCTAATCCCTGCTGTGGCCACAGGAGCTGCCCTCTGTGCACAAGGAAGGATGGCCTTGAGGACCCCATTTGAGGATCGGGGCTACATCGAGAGCTAGACAGCCACCAGCCACTTAGAGGGGCAGCGGGTCACTCTATCACTTGCCGTTTTGTTGAGAAAGAACAGCGCATGAGTCGGGGAACCGCCTGATTTATCTCTGGAGAGAGGCGATATATAAATACATCCAGTAAATCACGGATTTGGAGGAGATCCAACTGCCTAGGGTTAGGAAAGAAACTTTGAAAAAGGGCAAACCCACAGTTTCCTGCATTAAACTCTGCGGGAAAAAGAAAGAAGAGTCTTAGAAAGAAATCAACTCTATTTTGTCTCTTCTCCCATGTTTTTGCAAGGGACAAATTAAATGTAAAGGTCAGTTTTTCAGCTGCTCCTAATTGCAACCACTGTTATCTCTTTGAATCTTGAAAGGCCCCCAGCACCCTACCTTGCAGACATAATCCTCATTTCACAAGCTCTTTTAAAAGGGCTGTTAAGAGGCTTCCGTGAACTTTGAATTGTTCTAATTTCAGCACAGTTTGGAGGCCGCAAAGCCAAGTGCAGCCTTTCAGAGGAGGAGTGGAAGTTTTCCATAAGGGGATCTGCACTTGAACTTTCTCTACTCCATCCGATCTGCCCACGTGGGCATTCAGTGCCATAATTCTATCCGTACAGTGGTAAAACGGCGAAGAGGATTAACCTGATAATGATGCTAAGCTGGCTCTGAAGGCTTCCTGGAGCAAGGAGGTGGGCAAGTGTCCACACGTGTGAAAACTCTGAAATGGCAGAACGTGGTCAGTCTGTGTAGACACATGAAGCGCTCCTCTTAGCCTCAGTGTTAGCAACTGACCTCCTTCACTGTCTTTTAGAGATATATAACCAGCAGAGCATGGATATTTGATGTGGCCTTCTTTCACCCAGAGCTTTGGGGGAGTTAATTAAGAGTTAATAAGTAAGTAGACTGATTTGCTTCTTAGCTCGGCTCCAATTCCTTTGGTGGGAGGGTCTAATAAGAACAATATACAAAAGCCGTTCCTATGAGAGGGAAAGGAATAAAAGGAGAAATGGCAAAATAATCTACAAATGATAAATCTCCAAAAATGTGGGGCAGACCCATCACCTTTGAGGTCCAGTACATGACAGATGGGCACGGGTGCAGGACAGTACACTTTGGATAAGACTTTGGCTTGGCCTCCAGGGTTTCTCATTTAACCCCTCCTCAAGTCATGCGGGGGGCAGGGCAGCCCTTCTCGGTTGCTGCGTGTGATCCGCACGCGAGTCGGTGTTACATAAATAACCTGTGCTACATACACAGCTAATCATGATGGAGCCACGTTTGAATTTCCATATTCGGACTCCAGATCCCTGATGCGCTCTCCATTGTGGCGAAGGGCCCCATGCGTTTGTTGAAGTGGTAAATAGTTTCTCGGATTGAAAGAGTAGACGGGGTCCCCAACACCAGCTTTAGCGTCACCAGTCACTTTACCTACTAGGGGACAAGAGCTCAATTGATTCTCGGCATTCCTCAGGTGAAATAAAACTGAGGTATATACATCACAATCCAAAGCGCACACAAAAAGAGTATTGTGCTTCAAAGTCGTAATACTTGGAAGCAGTAGGGTTATTCTTATAAGGCTACATGCTCAAAGCATTTTTTTAAACTGCTCGTTAATAGTTGCCTTTGGAGCCAGATTTCAAACTACACAATAAAACATTCATGTTAACTTTATAATTACATCTGTTTATTTCTATACGCAGAAAGTGGTGTCACCTGTCAGACTTGACCTTGGTTCTACACCAAACTTGACTTTATTCTCTACAAAATCAGGTTCACCTTTCAAGGAGGAAAGTTCAACACACCTCCCAAGAAGGGGTTTTCAGAAGTGATTTGATGGCATCATTAAAATGAGTGCTTCTCCTACCAAGGTGACCCTTGTGAAGTGGACACTGCTGATACCGGTGTGTGGTTCCGGTTTATTTAGAAACTAATCACACCGCTTTGCAGTGACCCTTGAATAAAACATCCTGAGCCTCCCCAGATTTCACAAGGGCCAGAAAGAGGAGCCCGAGCCTCTAGAAGAAGGAAACCGGATGTCAGGAGACTTGAAACAACAACAGTCCCTGCAGATCCCTGCAAACAACCATAACCACAGCAACAGATTGATGTGTCAGCCTTAAAATAAAAACTGTCACTGTTGACTGTTTTCTGACCTCCGGACCGGCCAGCCAGAAGGTGTTAATAATGTTGGTCGTTTACCAAATCCCTCCTAGAATGAGAAGCATTTTGGTAGCCGAATTAAGATTCTGGGTTCTGTGCTGGCTCTGACTTTTGTGCAGACTGAGCTGAAATGCATGCCCATCCTTCATCTCCTCTCTGTGCCTTTCCTTCTCCACAGGCAGCATCGCCGCCATTACAGTGACCGTCATCGCCGTCGTACTGTTGGTGTTTGGAGTCGCAGCGTATCTGAAGATCAGGTGAGACGCACCTTACTCTTCTTTAGGAAGAAAAGGGTTCCGTTAGAGCTGGATTGCTGAGTACTTGCTTCCTGATGAGGACCTTAGGTCTTGGAAATCCCGGCAGGGAAGTGAGAATGGCCGGTGTACAGCACACTAGACCGGATTAGATGGTACGGTATCTGAATGTTGACAAAGGCAGAATAAATAAGCTGACATAACATGCATAAGGATGTAATAGAACAAGAATGAACCTGCAGTCAGGGGACTGAGGCCCTGGAAAGGCCTTCACCCTGAGAAAGCCACCTGTCTCCTGGACCTCAGGTTCCTTGTGTGTGAGATGGGTCGAGGAGTGAGCTCAATGATTCCGAATACTGATGTTCGGAACACTCATGTGTGGCTGGGTACCCAGTCGGTAAGGTTTTCACTGGTTCTAAAGCAAAAAATGTTGAAAATACAAGGCAGGTGTAGTATGTTCTCTACAAAGTTGGATTTTCCCCTCTGAGGTTATGTGCTTATATTTTGGTTTTAAAATCTCTCCTCCTGTATGAAATGAAGGTGATCACAGATGATAGCTGAGGTTTTACTTGCCTGAGCCAAATAGAAAGTTCTAATAGACTGTGAGCGCCCACTTTTGCTGTCTCCTGCTCTGTGAAATGCCAGTGGCTCCAAACCATGTTACTTACACAGAGGGTTCTCACAGCAATAACACACCTAATGGCAAGTGAGTCTTACTGCCAGTCTGTGCAGTGCCCCTCATGAGGGACAGACATGCTGCCATGATGACAATAGCCCCTCTCTGACCTCCAGCCCATTCTCTTCTCAACGGCTGGAGCCATCTTTATGGCGGCTCTGGGGCTCCCTCCCTTAAAAGCCCCCCATGGCTTCCCCCTGCACTGAGAATTAAATCCTAACCCTTCAGCTTGACCCTTCCGGTCACTCACGGGGCCTGCCCTGCCTCTTCTCGCTCACCACCTCTCTCCGTCTTAACCACAGAGCTGCAGGTGCACTGGCTCTCTGTCCAATTCTCAGAACACTCCAGGCTCTTTTTCTCTCCAGGCCCTTGGCTCTGGCCGGTCCCTCTCCCCGAAGGCTTCTCCTCTAGCTCTCTGTCTGCCGCCAGGCTTCCACATCACGTCCTCCAGAAGCCTTCCCTTCCAGTTTGGTGCCCTTGTTATTTATTCTCTAAGAGCCTCGTCCCTTTTGTCCTCGCTGTTAGCACGATCTACGATCTGATTCCTTGATACATATATAAAGAGGTTTACTTGTTTATTGTCTCTTTTCCTCACAAAAACATAAGCTCCATGAGGACACAGACTCTGTGAGCACAACGCTGGATGCAAAGAAGACGCTCAGTAAACTGAATAAGTAAACAGCTGGCTGTGAGAATACACAGTCACTCAGACACTGTCGTGCCCGCGCACGTACGCTCCTCACTGGGTTTTCTTCTCCACGGCCGTGCTGCTTCCTGGAGAGGGGGCAACAGCCGGTGCTTTCCTCCTGCCCCGCTGGCCTACATGATCTCACCTACTTACCATCTCATTCTCACATCCCCCTCGCTGCCTTCTTCCTTTCCCCTGGTCACCCCAGCCCAAACCAGCACTCACTAATGATTACTCCTTCCTCTTTTGCCCCCCCCCCTTTTTTAATGTTCATTTATTCATTTTTGAGAAAGAGAGTGCAAGGGAGGGCCAGGTGGGGGGGAGGCAGGGAGACAGAGAATCCCAAGCAGGCTTCAGGCAGTCAGCACAGAGCCCAGTATGGGGCTCGAACTCACGAACTGCGAAATCATGACCAGAGCCAAACTCAGGACGCTCAACCGACTGAGCCTCCCAGGCGTCCCTCTGCTCCTCTTTCCCTGCTGTCTGCCTCCATCTTTTGTTCTACATTGTGCACCGGATCAATCTAATGATGGAGTTAAATATGAGAGTGCCTGGTAATACCACCTGTATCTGAGGTAGGAAGAACAAGAAAGCCAGGTTTCAAAGGGAAATTGGAATGAAAGGGCCAGTGTCACCTGTGTCTAAAAGCCTTTCTAAAAGCATCCCTTGTCTCCTTCATTGTTTAAAAAGTCTTTTTCTTCATTATGTCTGTATTTCCTTGACCAGGAAATTTTATGAATTTATCTCACTAAATGGTACTCTTTTCCAACTGGGTTCTATACAAGTTTATCACTGCAGATACTATTTTCATTATAAGCTGGCTTTTATGAACTCGTCTAGGGACCTCATTCCCACTTTGTTGCAGTTTCTCTTTGTGTTGGGGTGGGAGCAGGCAGAAAAGGAACTTACGGGTAAATCTGAGAATCGTTCTGTTGTCACAGTGGTGAGTTTGTGAAGGGCTGTGTCACAAAACGTATGACCTCCCCTGGAATGTGGAGCGGGACGGAAACCCTCTCCTCTTGCCGTGCACTTGCCAAAAAGCACCTTGAAAGAATCTAAAGACTCTTCACCTTGACTCCAGGCGAGAATTCAAGTTTACCATCTCAAACCACTGACTCCAGACAGGCAGTCTAGAACCATGATTAAAAATTCAGACTCCAGAGGCCCCTGAGTGGCTCAGTTGGTTAAGTGTCTGGCTCTTGACTTCTGCTCAGGTCATGATTTCACGGTTCATGGGTTCGAGCCCCACATCGGGCTCGGTGCTGACGGTGTGGAGCCTGCTTAGGATTCTCTCCCTTTCTCTGTCTCTGCCCCTTCCCCTCTCACGTGATCTGTCTCTCTCTCCCTCTCAAAATAAATTAATAAACTTAAAAAAAAAAAAAAGGAGTTCAGACTCCAGAAGCAGGGAGATCCCGGTTTGAATCCACGCTCTACCACTTTTTAGCAGGTTCTGCTGTGACCTGGGCGTGTCACGGAGTTTCACTAACCCTCACTTCTCCCTCCCCTGCAAAATCAGGGCCACAGTATTAACTACTTGGGGGCATTGTTGGGAAGACTAATGGATGCTGCTTCCCAAGCACTAGCACGGCCACCATCACCGCCGTCATTGATGTGGCCCACTGGAAGGGCTCTCAGTAGAACAGGTGCATTATAGTTGCTGAGCGTTAGCCATGGGCCAGTCACCCTCCTAGCGCTGGGGACCCATCAGCGATGAGACCCGGCGCTGCCATCACAGAATGTACTGCGTTTGGAATATTTTGTTCTCAGGCCATTAAAATTGGGTCTAATGAGTGCTGATTAAAATTGCATAACGTTTTATTTTAAAAATTTGAAGTGTATTTTCTCCAGGCGTTCACAACACGAGACACATTCAGTGAATGATTCAATTGAATTAGTCATGGTTTCCTTCCTCATATAGGCCCTCCTCCTTAATGTAGAAAGGCCCCAGCGGTGTAAGTTTAAGGTTGTTATTTGTCTTTGGGACTACGCATTTAAGGAAGGATAAAGTGATCAGATCCCTCTTTAGAAACCCCCTAAGAAAAACCCCTTTTTGCTCCCCTGTTAATTATTCTGGCAAAATGATAACATAAGGAGGGTAAGAGCCCTTGTGAATCTTAAGGCTGGGCTAAAAGTGTTTCAAGTGTTATTTTGCCAGATTCTTGGAAAGCCCCACTAATCATTTATCAAAAATACATTTGGCTAAATTGACAAATGTGTGTGTGTGTGTGTGCGCACGCACGTGCCCACGCGCACACACTCATGCCTATGGGGCATGCCTCTGTGTGTGTGTGTGTGTGTGTGTGTGTGTGTGTGTGTACGCACGCGCGTGCGCGCCTGTGTGTACCTAAGTTTGGGTTTTTCCTTGGCTGGAAGTTTATTCCATTCCTATCATCCTCAGTTTCTGAGAATAATAATATGACAAGAGAATGTGGTTTTCAGCTCACTTGGCTTGGGCAGAAAGTGACTGAAATCACAGCCCATGAGGGAACCATTAGTTTCTGGCCTGAGACCACGGGCTATCACCCTGGCCCAGCCAATGTCCCTGCAAATGCAGAAGAGAAGTCTGCTTCAAAGGGCAGCCTCACAACCAGAAGAGGGGCACGTCTTGTCAGCTCTGCTAACAGTGGCTCAGTTGTTGCACCTTTTCCCAAATCCTAATCTGCTCTGAAGGCGTTGGTAAATTCAGCCATCTCTTTCCACACTCCTATTCTTCAGGGACCCATGAACTCTAGTTTTGCCACAATACCCCCACCTAGAAAGCCATCTCTTTCTGTGCTCTGAGCCACTTTTGGAAGCGACATAGAAATGAGCTGCTCTGAACCTTCCAGGGCTCCTCTCTGTTACCAACCCCGCATCTCAGCTTGCAGTGGCATGGTGCGGTGGGAGGAATGTGGGCTTTGCGGTCAAATTCAACACTGACCTTTTTACTTACTATTTAAGTGGCCTTGGACAAACGATAATCTCCCTGATCCTGAATTTCTTCATCTGTAAAAATAAAGTAGGTAACACCTTTCTTTCAAGGTTCTTTTGAAGAGGAAATGGAATAATGAATGTAGAGCCACCTGGAAAGACCGTGCAGTGTGGTGGGTAAGAACATGAGCTCTAGGGCAGATTCGTTAACCACTTTGTGATCAGTTTTATGTTATATCAGTATAACTATATATAGTCATATTTATATCACTATTATAGTACTATACCTACCTCAGGTTAGGTAATACTAATACCTGACTAATATTAATACTAATTCCAAACTCGGAATTTTTATGAGGATTAAACTGTACCACAGATAAACATTCAGCACCGAGTGCAAGGTGAGCACGGTGGAAGGGCTAAGTACTGTCACTGTAGTTGTTAACACACTGAGCTCACGTGCTCAGCAAAATGGTAGCAGCCAATAGTCCCATTCAGTAGGTGTCAGGGATTCAAAGGAAAGGGGAGAGGAGGAGGGGAAGACGACACAGAAGCTCAGCTTTCGGATTACGCACCGTTGTGCAGACTTCCATGCTCCATTCGGCGGTTTCAGCTGTGCTGCTTCTAAGTGCCTGTGAGGTTGCATCCGTGTTATACATTCATAAACAGAAGCCATCTCTGAGCAGTCTTGATTCCAAGGCTTGTTTGCAGCTTTAAAAGAAAGCAAGA